GTGAAGAGGAGGAAAGGTTAAAAGGTGAGGAGGTGAGGAGGAGGAAAGGTAACAAGGTGAGGAGGAGGTGAGGAGGAAGTGAAGAGGAGGAAAGGTTAAAAGGTGAGGAGGTGAGGAGGAGGAAAGGTAACAAGGTGAGGAGGTGAGGAGGAGGTGAGGAGGAGGAAAGGTTAAAAGGTGAGGAGGAGGAAAGGTAACAAGGTGAGGAGGAGGTGAAGAGGAGGAAAGGTAACAAGGTGAGGAGGAGGTGAGGAGGAGGCGATGACAGCAGGACTCCCCCCTCAGGGCCTAATTTTAGCCGTCAGGCAGCAGCTCGGACACCATAAGAGGTCCTGATACTCAGTCAGCAGATCTGGGAGCAGCTGACAGGAAGCCGCTCATCAACCAATCAGAGCGCAGGAGGGGAGGCGGCCAATCGCAGAGCGGAGTGTGCCGCTTCAAACTGCACTGTGAACCCTGAGCCGACCAATCGGAGGGCAGCAAACGTGCTCGGTCAGCAGACACACAATCCTGACCAACCTGTGTGTGTGTGTGTGTGTGTGTGTGTGTGTGTGTGTTAGAGACACAAACAGCTGCTGGAGACCACGTATCACAACACACACACACACACACACACACACACACAGAAACAAGGAGAGCAAACATGGACAGAAGAGGAAACAGTCACTGAGTGTCTGTTTTGCTTTCAGTTGTTGTCACCGTCTTCTTGTGCGTCTGTTTGTTTTGTTGTTGTTTTTATGTTAATTCCTCAAAACTAAACAGAGAAAGTCGAAGTGGATCAGAGACAAACACCCAGCGGCCTGTTGTGTGTCTGTCGGCCTCCAGTCATTCCTGCTGCCCACAGAGCCTCATACCAGCAGACAGAAGGACGGACGGACAGACAGACAGACAGACAGACAGACAGACAGACAGACAGCCAGCATCATGCTAACCAGAGGCTGCTGAGCCAGCAGACGTCCCACTCTGGTTAGACTCTGCTGGACAGTGTGGACTCACAGATAGGACTGTGAGAGAGGAGGCGTCACTCTGAGCGCCCAGCAGACTCTGGTTAAACTCCATATGAAGCAGATCACAGGTGAGCGTGACGGACAGGTGAGTCGATGAACCGCGTCCACAGTCACCTGAACGGGCGTCAAAAGGCTGGAGGCGAGTTTTCAGTCCGACTGTTTGGTTTTATGGGTTAAACTGAAGCAGAACTCGGGTTCAGGTAGTGAGCTTACTGATCTGTGTTGACCAACGGCCGGGTTTAAAATCCACCTTTTA